TTAACTTTTCGGTAATTTTATGAAAATAGTAGATATTGAAATTCATTGAAATGAGGAAAATTTTTTTGAAAATAATTTATTTCAAGTATCAACGGGTTTACAAAATAAAAAACGCCCTTTCGTACAAAGTACTATAATATAAGAGAAAGAAAAAAAGAAAAAAAAAGAATATATTAATTAAAATTAATATTATTCATATTAATAATTGAAATTTTGACAAGAATATTATTAAAATTTTTTGAAAATAATTGAATTTTGAAGAATTTTTTTTATTTATAAAGATAATAATTGAGATTTTGTCGAGATTTTTTTGTAAATTTTGAACATAATTAAATTTTGTGGTAAGAATTTTATTACTTTTGAAAATAATTGAATTTCTGCAATTATTTGCATCTTCTTCAAAATTCAATTTTTTTAAAGTATTTTTAACTGTAAATTTCTTCTATAAATCCATTATTTTTAACAATTAGTTAATTATATATTGACGAATGTAACTAATTTTAGAAGATTTTGAATTATTAAAATTTTTCCAAAATCTAAGTTCATTAAAATTTCTAATTAAGTTTATTCAACATAGAAACTTTATAAAATTTCAAATAAAAACCGTTTGAAGTTTAAATTTATGAAAATTGTAAACGCAACTCTTTTAAAATTGAATTAATTTTGAAATATTTAAGTAAAATTATTCATTAAATAATTTATTTATTTTATGATAGTTGTTCAAAATTTAAGTTATTTAAAAATAAATTTTTGTCAGAAATTGAAGGTGTATTAGAATTCGGGATAATTTTAGAGTGGCGAAAGTCAATTTTAGCGTGGCGAAAGTAAAAAATTTCGCCTGATGGTGAAAATAATTAAAGTTCTCTGATTACAAAAATCTTCGAAAAATTAACAAGATAAAAAATTTAAAGAACCAGTGGAAAGAAAAAAAAAAATTCTAAAGGTGAATGAACTCTTGAGAAATCTATTTCACTATCAATTTACCTTCGAGGCAATGGAGGAGAGATTATGCGGGCAAAAGTCAATGAGTCCTTTAAAAGATAAATATTACAAAATGACAGAAAGGGAAATTGTCCGGAAAGCTCGTGCCAGAATGAAGTTCACTATGCGCGCATAATCCCACTACTAAAAAGTAGTAGTCTGAATGTTAAAGCGGGACTAATAAACGACTTCCTAAGGAAGCTAAGGATTAGGAGATTAGTTTGGTATAGCGATCTGTGAGCGCAGACGCGTCAGTATTTGCTAGAGGGAGAGAGTGAGAGTTGAGCTCACAGGTGCTCCTCACCACGCGCTCATTCCTCAACCCCCTGACGTCACTCGATTCAGGAACCATTTGTTCCAGTAATTATTAGCCTCAGGGTCGTAAGGTTGACACCTAAAACCCATAAGAGATATACGTGATACTTTTTTTTTCTTCTAAGAAATACAAAATGATGGAAATGCTTTCTATACGAAAGCAGTTTTTAATTCGTATCTGTCTTTTTTACTCCCTCTCTTAATTTTGTCTCTCTTTTTCCCCCCTCTCTCTTTTTTTCTATCAAACCTAAAAATACTGATGGGTTTTCTAAAAAAACTGTATATACGAGGAGCAAAGCTCATGTTTCCATAGAGATTAAATGGTATTTAGCGCATCTTTAGGAGATATAACTGACACGCGACCATTTCGGATACTTTATCTTTTTTCTGTTCGACAATCTTTTCATAGAATTTAAAGACTTATTACAGAAAAAAAAATGACGTACATTCCGCGCACTGAAGAATAAATATAAAGTATCTAAGAAGCAAAGAATTTTAAATTTATACGTTTTTGTTATTTTTACCGCACCAGTCTTTCGAAGGATATCCAAATATTGAGACAAAAATCAAAATTGTATCAAAATTGTTGCGAATCAACGTTTTGATACGTTTTTTTTGTCTCAATTTGCGGATATCCTTAGAAAAACTGTGACCTTAATTAAAAGTTTTTGTATTTAAAATTTAAAATTAATTTTAAATACTCAGTATAGAGTATTTTAGAGGGCCGGAGTGGCCAGTATATGTATAGTGCCCACCATTTATTTTAACGAATCTTTTTATCGAATTGACATTCTTGTATAAATTTTTTTTAAACAAAAAAACTACTAAAATTTGTGCAAATTTACCGGGCCATCTAAAGGTTAAAAACTCAGTTTTAAATTAAAAAAACAACCCCTTTTAAAATTTTAAAATTTTTTATAGGGGTTTAAAAATTAAAAACCCTTTTTAAATTCTAATCCAATATATATATATATATATATATATATATATATATATATATATATAAAAATTGACCTATAAAATAATTTTTTGTCCCTTTTGATATGAATTGATTGATCTGATATTCTATTGCGCGTAGGTAATATATACATATGTTCATCGTAATATATATAATAATAATGGGAAAATGATGATCAATGTTTCGCGTTTCATAATAATGATAAATTGCGTAAATTTTAGCAGAAAGGGTCCACAGACACAAATACCTTGAGAGAGTATTGTTGTATGGATATATAATTTTCGTCTCATGCCGAAAGACTTTCATGAGATTTTTCCGGCATATTGCAGCTGCTGTACGAGAGTGTCGTTTTTGCGACCCCCCAATAAACTTCTCTCTCTCTCTCTCTCGTCATTGAGTTACGTTATGATATGCCCCACTAAACACCCACGGTTTTTACGTCACGTGTTGTTTTATTCATACTTGACTATAAAATTCCCATTAAACAACACATATATGTTGATGTGTGTGTGTATGTCGAAAAAAAATTGCGGCAAAATTAATTTGTCGTTATATTTAAATACCAAACCAAAACCGAAAAAAATATTTGCAACGAACCGATGACAAAATAATGGAATTATAATTCAAAACAAATTTTTTGTGCCAATTTCAATCAAAATTTTGGGTATCAACTTGATTCACTTTGATATCAATTTGATTCACTTTGATATTAATTTGATCCACTTTGACATAGATTTGATCCATTTAAGCATCAATTTGATCCAATTTTATGCACATTGGCATCAATTTGATCAATTTTTATGGACCCATTTTTATCCACTTTGTAATCAATTTGATACACTTTGATATATCAATTTGATCCATTTTGGCATCAGTTTAATCTACTTTGGTATCAATTTGATCCACTTTGGCATCAATTTGCTATACTTTAAAAAAAAACTGCTTTTAATAATAAAAATATTAAAATAAAGAAAGGAACAATCGACTGAAAAGGGGAATCCTGTCTTATTTTTATAAATCTTTAAAAGATTTCCCAGAAAGCTAAATAGAATATGAATAAAATGGGAATGAGTACCGCGCGCGCCACGAATGTGTCGCATGCACAGCCGCCCGTAAAATAGAGGAGGATTAGCGGTCGCTAATATATGTTTACTTGGAGGGAAAAACGCACAGAGCAGCTGAGATATTCGTTTCTCTTCGTCATGTTCTCTTTTCACTTGCGCGACAAGCATATTCGTTTTTCGTCTTTCGCAAATATAAAATAAAATTACTCTAAACGCGGAAAGAATAGCAATAAATTTGTTAACAACAAAAAAAACCCCCATCGTTATTTTCACCATATTGCCCCACCGCCATCACTTCTTTTTTTTTATTTCCCTTCCAATCCATAAAAATTTATGCGAGTTATTCCGATCATATATATACATGATGAGTCATAAATTTTACAAGATCTTTTTCTACATTTTTTTTTGTAACTCTGAAATTTTCATTTCTGGTTTTAAAATTTTACTCCTTTTTTACAAAAAGAATTTTCCCTACCAAAATGAATAAGCAAAATTAACGAAAATATTAATGTTTGGTCTTTGGTTTGGTGTGACGAACAAAGAAGAAATTAATCAAATGAATCAGAAGTATATATGTGATTTGTGTTTGTTGACGATAATTTCTGAAGCATCGCCCTATGTGGCGAAACCAAATATAACTTAAACGAAACTTAAGAGACTCGACCGATTAACATCTCAGTTATGCGTGTGAATATGTTCTGTTCCGCTGAACGATGTGAGACGAGAGTTGAGTTGTGTTTTTTTTTGAGCTGCCCGCGAGTTGACTGGTGGATAAATAATCGCGGGACCGCGACAAAATTAACTAAGAGAACGATCGTTGTTGGCTTTCTCGAAAATAAACGGATTGATTAATGGGCCCTTTGAATTTTGATAGAAAGCACAGCCTGCTCTGACATTTTAGCAATTTCCTGACCTACTTCTCAAACATTCAACATTTTTTCTTCATTTCTTTCTATTTTTTTTTTTGCAAAATTCTTTTTTCTCTTACATTGATGACACAGTTTTCTTGAAAGTATCGAATTGATACCAAAAATAATGGGAAAATTGTCTCAATTTTTGGAACCAAAATATTATCAATACCAAAAGTTTGGCTCAATTTTTGTTTTGATACAAATTTTTGATATCTGTTCGTTGTAATTTGATGCTTTCGAGTTGATAGTGAAAGCAAAACATTTTATTATCTTTGTCTATGTCATTTAGGTGATTACATCATCTAATGCTGTTATTAGGCATTCAGTACTCTTATCCGTTAGCCATCATCAAAGTCCTTTATCTTTACTATACACACGATCAAATACATCCCTTTGGATCATCGTTAAATTTCTCAATATCATCATCATCATAATCATTGTCATTATCTTTTACTGTTACCATTATCATAGTGTATCCTTCACTTCCTGATGGATGATGATGATGATGATGATGATCGTCCATCAACATTTACATTTACATTATCATTTGCTATCAATTGCCATAGCATCACAGTTTCCCTAAAGGATATCAAATTGAGACAAAAAAGGATCCTTACTTCCTCTTTAAAAAAGTAGTGATGAGGTGAAGGATTAAAAAATTAGGGATGAGTGGATGAATAATGCGTATAGTATGAAATAGAAAAATATAATTTTTGATATACTTTTCGAAAGGAAAGAGCAATAAATGAAGAAATTAAAAATTTGTTACAGTTTGGACCCAAAGTGACTTTCGTGACGATTCAAATGGAAGTCTCGCAAGGCTCGACTCGGGTCATGGTGGTCACACCCCTGGTGGTAGTACCCCAAGCACTCCAGGTGCAACACCAACGACACCCTCAGGTGGGTTCTCGACAGCTCAATCAAGAAGTCGTACGAACAATTCCCAAAGGCAGGATATTAGAAAAGGTATCTAATAAACATAACAACATAACAACTGTAAATTATGTTCGAAATCATAATATTTAGATGGAAATTCTTTTAGAAAAATAAAAAACAAAGAATTAAAAATAGTTGCAAATAAACTTTTCGTTCTTTCTTCAGTGCAATATTTCTATATTCTTTTCTTCAATTGTAATTAAATTCGCAACTATTTAGTTGCAAATTCAATTACAATATTGAAGAAAATGAAAAAAAAAAAATGCGGATTTCTTACTACCATTCGATGAAAATGAAAGATTGACGTGACGAATATGATGGACTAATTTTATTTATAATGAAAATCAGTAGAACTAAAATAAACAAATCATGTACATGTATAAACAGCTTTGGAAACATATTGCTTGTTCCACTTCATTTACTGTGGGATAATACAATCTCAAAGTAAACTTGAAAATGAGGAAACATGTGTACCAATCGTAATCGGAAAAAGAAATCAACACCGATAGCGGTTCCCTTTGATGCAAGCCAATCATTCATTGTCAACATTGTCAATTGATATTATATACAAAAAAAGAAACTAATTATGATATTTTTAGAATTTTAGATCCTAGAAATTTTACCTGAAAAAAGTTATGACAATGTAAATAAATCTATTTCCATAATTTTTATATCTATATTGATGCTACAGATTAAATTTTTGTTCCGTTAAAATTTTCAATCATACCAAATATATATAGTTTTTTGTATCGGATAAAAATAAAGAATTGGGATTGGAACCCTCAATTTTAGTGAAAGGCTTATAGGGAAAAAAGATCTTTTTGAGTAATTGGAAGGAATTTTTTTAAAAGTAGAAAAAAATTGAATACAAAAAGCATTTTTTTAATGAAAATTCTGTATATATACAATTAGAGAATTATGATGTTTGTTACATAACAACAGAATTGTGTATGTGCTTAAGGATTTAGACAAATCTTTAAAGTACTTAAGCGCGACTAAAATCTCCCAGCATCATCAAAGATTATAAAGGATTGTTAATATCGTTAAATGGGATTACACTTTTAAAACTGAAAATACGTGTCCAGTTTTTGAAGTATTCCACAGAATTAATTAAAATTTCTAATTAAAAACAAATAGTAAAGAATTTGTTTTAATTCAAAAATCAAATCTTTAATCAAGATTTATTGTTTTTTTTTCGGAATAGGTGTTCGTACGCCAATAGAAGTGAAACAAGAACTTGGAGTTGGTATCAATGATACGGAAGATAAGGATGGAAAGAAGAATAAACGACAAAGGCGACAGAGGACACACTTTACTTCACAACAATTACAAGAATTAGAAGGAACTTTTGCGAGAAATCGATATCCGGATATGACGTGCAGGGAAGAAATAGCCATGTGGACAAATCTCAGCGAAGCACGTGTCAGGGTGAGTCAACGAAAAGCTTCCTTCATTACTTATTAGAGTCATTTTTTTTCTTGATTCCTTATTTAATTTATCTTTATCTGCGGACAATCCAAACTATGTTTAATTTATATTTTTGACTATCACTCATGTTTTATTACTTCTCTTTATATCAACCACACTTTTCGTAAGTTTGTTTTTAGAAAAAAAAAATGAGGGAATAAAATGATGTTGCCGATGATTTTATTCCCTCATTTTTGTCAGTTTAATCCACAGCAGTTAGAATTTAATGAACATACATATTATTTCCGAGCATTTCCGTTATTTGCAAATTTAGAAAAAAATATACTGGAAATATGAGACTATAGTTGGAAATAGTTTCAAGTGTGCTTCGTTTCTTTTTTGTTTTTATGCATCAGAAGTACGATCTCGAATAAACTTTGATTTGCTCGAGAGGCTCTATATAACTAATAACAGAAGCACGCTGTCTTTATTGATTTTAAATTCCAAGCTTTACAATGGTCACATTCAAGTGTATTAGTTACTGGAACAACACTTTCAAGTTTCTTCCTGAACTCCAAGTATTTTTCTTCATGAAGCTAACTTGAATTTAATGGCTTAATAAAACTCATGGTCAATGGCCTTTATCAAAAAGAAAAATAGTATAGGAATTTATACGATGTCATTTTGTTATAATTAGTTAATCAGTAGCCATCAAAGATCCTATTGTTATTTTTAAATGTCTCTTAATTATTATCAAACTAATTTATTATAAAATAATTTTGTGGGTAGTATCGCCGTAATATTTTTTTCCACATAACTTTCTGGTGCAACTTTAATCATTTGCAATATTTACGATATCTTTCATCTTTATTAGTCTACTGTTAAAATTTTGTAACAATTTTTAATTTCATCGTCCGCCATTTTGTATTTTGCAATTCTCATATCAAATTCATAATCAGTGATCGCAAAAACCCCTAAGCATCAAGTTTTAAGCGAATCCGATCAGTGTTTCAAAATTCGGCCGCCATATTGGATCCTCCATTTTGAATTTTGCAATTCTGACGTTGGATTCATAATCAGCAACCACAAAAACCACCGAGCAACGATTTTAAAGTCAATTCGTTGAATTTTTGAAAATTTGTCCGCCATATTGGATCCGACATTTTGAATTTTGCAATTCTGACATCAAATTCGTAATCAGTGACCCCGAAAACCCCTAAGCACCAAGTTTGGAGCAAATCCTTCAGGTTTTTAAAAAGTCAGCCGCCATATTGGATCCGCCATTTTGAATTTTGCAATTCTGACAACAAATTCCTGATCAGCGACCCCGAAAACCCCTGAGCACCAAGTTTTAAGCGAATCCGATCAGTTTTTAAAAAGTCAGCCGCCATATTGGATCCGCCATTTTTTATTTTGCAATTCTGACATCAAATTCCTGATCAGCGACCCTGAAAACCCCTGAGCACCAAGTTTTAAGCGAATCCGATCAGTTTTTAAAAATTTGTCCGCCATATTGGATCCGCCATTTTGTATTTTGGAAATCCGACACCGCAGTCGTAATAATTGACCCCAGGAACCGTAGGTACCGTTCCTTTTGTAAATATTGACAGTTTCTTTTTTTATGGATTGTGAAACTGAAATTATGGAACTGAAAGAATGAAGAAAATCTGAAATGTATTTTTGATATTTTGTTTCCTGTTTGTTGCGGATAAATCACAATTTTGTCTCTATCTTTTTTCGACTCCTTAATCGAATATTTCGTGAACTGTCCAGTAAATCGCTGTACTATATGGAATATCGCGTAAAGAAAAAGTCACGCTCGTATTTGTGTGAGCTCTCCGGGTAGTTCGCAAGGGAGGCTTTGCGACGGTAAGCCCTCTGGATTTATTTGAACCACACCATATAGTACCCAGGTTGTTTCCGCCACGACACTATACGCCATGTACCAAAATTCTGCAGATCCTGCACTCATTCGCAAACTCTCTAACACCTCTATGACACTAGAACGTTTTTTTTTATTTAAAAAACATCGTGATCCAAAAAGTTCCATCTCCATTAACTCTCTCAACTTTGTTTGAATTTAAAAAGAAAAATTTTGATTTCAATATCCATTAGAAATTTTTGAATTGTAAACGAAAGCATCTATCAGCATTTCGATAGTGTAATTCTGAGACTCTTTATTTTCTTTATAGTCTTTGTATTTTTCTACTTAGTACAATTTTAGATTCACACATTCGAGAAGCAATAATACAGACATCTAAAATAAAAAAAAGGTAATTTTTTGTTAATTTTTGCGGAGAAAATGTAATTGTTTAATTATGATAATGGACGTAATGTGCGCCAAATATTATGAAAATGGGATGACATTGTGGAATCTGCGACAAACGAGAATGGACAAAAGTCGACGAATCGCAATGTCATAGGGGAGAAATCCTGGTGTTGCAGTATAGTTATCTGCAAAGAGGCAGGCGTATGTTTTGGTTCGTGGTAGCAGCGCGGGCTGTCCGAGATAATCCGCCGGTGATTAAGACCATAAATCCATCGACGGATTAGTTTGGTTGCACCACACAGTACGCGACGGCGTGAAGCGCTCACTATTCTCTAGTTTACATTATAGCTCCAACAATGTTCGTTGTCTCATCATAAAGAATGTTTAGTTTTAAATAAATATTCTATTTTTGAGATTAAAACTTTTTAAAATTATTTTTTGATGGATATTCCTTAGAGGAGATGTATGGTCTGGATATATGATGACATTTTTTGGTGACATTTTGTCAGGAGGGATTAAGGAAAAATTAGGCCTAGAGGCAACCTAATTCCTTTAGGTAATTCCTAGAGGTATCCTAAAGGAATCCTAAAGGTATCCAAGAGGTACCCTAAAGGAATTCTAAAGGTATCGTAGAGGTACCCCTGGAGGTATCCTAAAGGAATCGTAAAGGAATCCTTAAGGTATCCTAGAGGTTATTTTTAATGTAAATAATAATTATAAGCGTAATTCTTTTAAAATTTGTGGTAACCCAAAAGTAGCCTAGAGGTACCCCAATAAGTAGCTACTAAGTAGGCTTAAGGTAGGCTTCAGCTAACCCAAAGCTAGCTTCTAAGGAGGTTTAGCCTAGCCTTAAGGTAATCCGGAGGAAACATTCAGAAATTATTGGAATTGTCGCTCCCCGTTGTAGCCAAACAAAAATTACTATTTTAACCTCATTGTCAACAGAAGATCAGCAAGAACCTGATGGTTGTTGAATCAGTCACTCCTCATTGTTGACGAAGCAAATTAGAAATTAACAATAATCTCAGAGACTCGGTCCCAATGATTGCTAACAGCACACTGAAACCCATTTAGGTGTTTACAGCGTAAGGAGGTAATGAGTTTTATCAGGATAATGGAAAGGGAAATTTTGGGTTAGGTATGGTATGTTCCGGACCTAGATGTCCGGATGGTGTTACAACCGCGTTACAATGATTTTATTCGGAGATTTTCGAATTACGACGAATATTAACGATTATCGGTCATTGAAGACTTTTCACATTTTAGAGTTCCAAAAGCGAAAGCTCAGGGTTGGGTTAAGTGATAGGGTCTTTGATTCATCTTGACCTGATGAAAATAAGAGAGTAAAGTTCCGCGTAACAAATTCGTAACTAGGGATGATTCGTAATCACCCATACGCATGATTGGACATTGTGAATTGTTGTATTTGCTGATAATACTCGGAGTATTAGTGGTGAACTCTAGGCAACTATCGAGCGACGGCGAATGGGAAATGGGGTTTCCGGGTGGAATATGTATATATCGCTCGCACTAACCGGTATAGTATGAGAGTGAGGATTACTGGATGTCATCCGTATTCGCCGGGTTAGCGGCTGTCAACGGACCAATGCCATCGGTATATATCAATTATTACTGTTGCCAATGCCTATGCAACACAGGCATAGAGAGAGAGTATACCGTCGCCCGCGTATATTATCTCACTGAATATCCATGGCCGATTTGCATTTGCCGATGCTCTAACTCTACGTCACCGTTAGCGGCTTAGTCGCTTAGCGAGCACACTACAGTTGGTTCGTACGTTCTCATCCATCCTATATCATGGCTTAAACTTAGAATTTCAAACCATTCTTTACACATAAATCTGCAATTCAAAGTCGGTTATCCTTTTCCCTTGGAATATTATGACATTCCTTCCCTGTTACTTCAGAATACCATTATAACTGGAGGAACATGTAGCACCGGGAAAAGGGGGTGTAGTGCATAATTTTAACATATTCCTTTGTTATTTCGCATTTGGAAAATTCAGTTTGCTTTCGCAGGAGATTTTCATAAGCTGCGCAAAATGTTCGTAAGGAAGGAAAGAATTACGGGGAATTCCGTTTTTAGTTGTCCGGTTTTCGATGCTGAGGTTCTGTAGTGAAAAAGAAAGTCCTTTGTTTGTGTCTCAATAGAGGAATTTTTGTTGCAGCTACCCTGTTATCCGGGTCGGATAGATGATTCGTTTCATCAAAAACTTTAGGAGAAATTCCCAATCGAAGTCTTTGGGAAAAGTTCAGGGACCTTTCACTAACCAAACAAAGATGGGATGAAATTGTTTTGTTTGCAAATGATTCTCGAAGGAAGTCGTTGAATCGCACAAACATATGGTATTTATAAATTACGAAGAAGAGACTCGAGAGCGGGCGGAGGCGACATTAAAAATCACGTGTTTCGCTTGAGCTCATAATCTCGTATAATCTTTTGCAAAGTTGTTAATACTCGCGGCTTACGGGTGTTAATTTAATATCCATACAGGTGCGCCAACATTGAATATCCGAATCCCAGTGGTACCGGTGCTGTGCTGTGCTCTATACGGGCTGCAAAAGCATCGCAGCACCAACGATAAAAAAAATCCATAAAACTCCTCTCTCGCTCGACTATACTATCCCTTCCGGCACTCTCTACACTTTTTTCCGTAACCAGTTCCGCAGCATCTTTTCTCTTTTTATATCTCTATGTATTTGAACGTCGTTTTGTATTGTTTCGCAATTTC